TGCCTGGCAAGTGGAGGGTCCTGAGTTCAATTCTGGTATGGGAAAATAAATGTTTTAGGTTCCTCATTCTTAATTTACAGAGGAGTGAAGCCCTGAATTGTCACATTTCAGTAGCTTAGATTAACTTTTTCCTGGATTACTTAGCCAGTTATTCAAAGAAAAATTTCTTTATCCTTTTGGTTGAGATAAGTATATGGAAGCATAATCAAGGTTGGAGGTTTTAGAATTATTTGGTGAAGATGGAATTAGCACAAAGGCAAGTAAATGGCTCTTTTTTGGAGATAGAGTCTCGCTATGTAGTTCAGGCTGGCCTCAAACTCATGGCTGTCCTTCTCCCCCAGCCCTTCAAGTATACCCCCATGCCCAGCGCTGAATGGTCTTAAAGGATCTCTGTTACATCCAGGTGAATGAGCAGCTGCATGCCCTGTCAGAGTGGACCAGGCTTCCTTAATCATCTCCATCTGCCCATCTCTCTTTACAAAGAAAGAGTAGAGGCGGAAGGGGAGAAGTCAGAGAATTCTTCCTCATGCTTCACTCTGTTTCTTGTGGGATCTCCAGTTTGGGGTCCATCTCCACCATGACTGTCCTTCCTTCCTTCCCATTACACACACCTAGGACACCACTCCCCAGTTTCCCTCCAGCTTTCTGCTATTAACAATCTCTGAAATCTCTCACCATCCTATTTGTCTTCTCAGCCCTTCCCTATTGTGCAGCCTGCTTTCTCTATTAAAGGATCCCTGTAAAGGTGGAGAGTGGTTTTTGTTTCTTTGGCTGAACTCTAACTAATATATTTCCCCAATTCTGTATCTTGGTATTAGAATGATTAGGACAGATTCAAAATGAATATGAATTTTCTTCCCATATTATTAAGAGCCTACTCTGTGTAAGTTTCTGGGTCCAGGCCCAGGAGAAGGAAATATGAATTATGCCAAGTTCCTATTTCAACAAACTTACAATTTAATGGGGGAAATAAAACCACTTTTAATTTTAATAAATGATGATTAGTGTTGCAAGGACAGATGAAATGTGTGCTCAGAATTCTTTGACAGTGTTGTTTTTATTGGCTAACCTTGGTGGAATGGCATAGGGACATGAGCCCTAGCCATGAGCCCTGAGAAGTAGGTGCTAGGGTGGCTCTGCTACCAACTAACCAGATTTATGGAACTGGGAAAGTCATTGATCCTCTCTGGACTTCCATCTCCTCATGTCTAAGAGGTAGCATCTGTGTTTGCTCTTGGATTACAAACATTGTCACTATGACATTTTTAGTCCTTCATTTAAAGCCCACTGTATGCTGGGCATTTATTTTGAAGTTTTTCAAAAGGATGGAAGAGTGCATGATTAGTACTTATTTAGCCCAAAAGTCCTGCTGCTCCAGTCTGCTGCACAACACCGGAAAACATGGACACACACACACACACACACACACACACACACACATCACTTCATCTCTGCTGTCCACAACTTCTGTGTCCTAGACATTACAGGGTCTATTGGGGGGGATGCATGATTAGGAACCTACACAACCTAACACTACATGCATTGTCTTCTGGTCATAGGTACAGAAGCTGGAGAAGAATGAAGCAGTGGTTCCCCAGTTCCAGGCTCTGCACACCCTGGAATGCAGCCTCCAGGGAAGACTAGGACTGGTGTCTCCAGCTGAGTTTTTCAGAGATGCTTTTGTGATGCACACCACAGCCTTGTGGAATGGCTCCACTTTAGAGGGGACAAAGGAGTCTCTTTACAAGGAGGGTATTGAGGAAATCAATCATCTAAACACATTTTTAAAGTACTGTGCATTCTTGCAATAAAGCAATTCAGACACCTTCCCACTGATATGTTCTTTCAGTTTACTGTATAATTTGGAAACAGCTCTTAATGAATTAATCTTACTACACTTGAGTATTGAATTCTGACTACTGTCCAATTTAAGTAATCTCTTCTAAATAATTTGTTTATGGCCATTTGACATTCTGAGGACCTCACAAGTTGTCTCTGGGGATGAAGCATGGTGACTCTTTGGCTGTTGAAAACAGGCGGGACACAGAAAAGCATTTCCCGCCTGTCCCAGCTAACCAGCAGGATGAGTGCTGGGGTAGGGTGGCAAACTCAGCAGACAGTCATTTCTTTACAGTAAAATAAACAAAGAGAAGAAAAGTTGTACAGGGTGGAAATGCAGTGATTAGATGCACTTTAAAGTGGATCATAAAACAAGCAAATTAGCTATATTATTCTCAGGAGAGTTTTAATTTAAAATGTAGTACTTAAAATTGACTTGCAAATACAGAAAAAAATCTGACTCCACCTCTACTCAGTGTTCAATAAAAGACCAGGGTTAAATCCAGCAGCAAGTTGAATTGTAGACATGATGGGTTAAAGGCTGTGAATTACAGGAAGTCCAGCCCCTTTGATCTAACTTCCATTGTAGAGTGGCATTGTATGTGCTACACGTGGCAGACCAAAGCCTCTCTCTTGGAGACAGAAAGTAGGTTTCGCCTTCTGGGACATTTTTGCTATTCTCGTCTCCAAATTTTCCTTGGGTGTGTTCTCCCTTCCCACTGGCCTAGAGTCTGTGTCTCTTACTTCCTGGCAGTGACCAGCAACTGAGATTTTGGTGTGTCATTGTGAAGGCAGGAAGCACAGAGGAGGTGCCTGGGAGACTGAGGGCAGCTTTCCCTCTGGCATGGCTTTTGCTCCACCCTACATGGCCCCATCTTGGGACTCCCGCCAAGGGGCTCCTGGCAGCCATGAGACTCAACCTTGACAACAAACATTTCCGCGTGTCCCTAGCCCCACCCTGCCGACCCCAGGATGAGGCTATGGGGGAAAGTCTATTACCCTAACACTAGGTCTGGGCTCAGGAAGGATTAATGGATGCAGGGCTTCTGCAAAACCTACACAGATATGTTTGTGACAGTCCAGATACAGAAGGAACCAGGACTGCCTGTGTCACATTGTCCTGTTTAAAGGGCTCTTTAAACAGGGCTCTCGGGAGAGGTTTTCACAAAACACCTTCAGCTTTTAATACATTTTTGTGCTCTTAGCCAGAGTCTGAATTCAAATTACAGAAGGTAGAGATGTGTCTGTTAAAAAAAGTTAGTCTGGCTTTACATAACAGAAACACCGCCAAAGATACTGACTTATGCATATTAGACGTTTAGTTTTTGCTCACAAAAAAGGCAGTGTTGGTATTAACTCAGGTTTTGTAGCTTATTTCCATGTTATTCCTAGAGTGTGAGACTACATTGTCTTTCAAACCTTTTATTCTCAGGATCCTTTTACATCCTTAAAAAATTACTGTGTTCACCTGAACAAATTTTTCTTTATGTGCGGTACTGTTTTAGAAATTACAATTGAGAATCTTTTTACATATTTATTGAATTCATTAAAAGTAATACTAAATCTATTGCCTGTTAACAACAATACAAGTTTATGAAAAGCAATTATATTTTCTAAAACAAAAAAAAACTAGTGAGAAAGTAACATTCTTTTATGTTTCTACAAATCCTTATCTGGCTTAACAGAGAATTGAAATCTCCTATCTGCTACTGCATGCAGTCTGCTGCCATGTATTGTGTCGGTTGAAATATGTAGAAAATTCTAGGCTTCCTGTATATATGTGACTGCAAAAGGGAGGGTCCTATGAATCTTATGAACAATGCTTTTTTTGCTTTCTGTCTACACTTTTAGAATCGCTATCTTAAACCTCATAATCTAAAATAGCTGCTGAAGCTCCAACCATTATATCCACATTAAGGCATTATGGTAGAAGGAAGGTTGAAGGAAAGATTGGTACTATCCCTTTAACAATGCATTGAAGGCACACACACACACACACACACACACACACACACACACACACACACAGAGCATTCCTGATTACAGCTCCTCAACCAGAACTCTCACAGGACCAAGGTAAGCTGTGAAGGAAGTATTTTAGTGGGGCAGGGATGTGCTGTGCTAAAATTTTCTTTAAAAAGAAAGGGAGAAAGGCCACTGAGAAGCAATTAGCAGTCTCTGCCACAGGAAGCATGAGTTAAAAGCATTCCAATGACCCATACACTTCATCTCTTGTTGCCATGGCTGCAGATGGTCAAAACACCAAACAGCCCCCAGACGTCCCCTGCGAAGAAATCACTGTTTGCTTTGCTAACTGATTGGTGCTCAAATGGATTTGAAAGTGTCTGCAGAGGGGCAGGGTGTGGGAAAAAGGAGAAAGATGCTTCTTTTCCAAGAAGCACTCTCACCAGAACCACATTGTGAAATCAAAGTCCCCAGAAGAGAAAGGCCATCCTACCAAAAGAGACTGCAGTTCCACAGATTTCCCGTTCTGCTTTGAAAGACTTTGAATGACGTTCAAAGAATAGCCATCAGGGACAGCATTTGTTGGGGGGAAAAATGAAAATGTTTTCTCTCAGCAAAGAATAACAACACAGGAGGTTCCCAGAGTTAAGAAGAAAGTGTTAAGAAACAATTTAAAATACTTTCATTGACTGTTTACTTAAAGCTAGTCATAATTTCAAACACTTTACACGTATGATTAACTCATTTGATCCTCCTGGTAAAGCTAAGGTTGTTTATTATCTCTGTTAATATCCTCACTTTATTCTAATAAGGAAATTAAAGCAGAGAGAAGTTAAGTGACTTGCTGAAGGTCACTCGGATAGGGAAGGGTTGATTTGTCTCCATAGTCTGTCCTGAAACTACTAAGCTCTACCTACATCTCTTCTGAGAAGGAGCTTGGAACTGAGGCTAAAACATGAGAAAGTCCATTGGATGAGACAAAATCCACAATACTAGTTGGCAATACTGAGCCTTGGTGAAAAGCCCTTTATTACATGCACATGGATGTTGTTGTTTCCCCTGTGTTTGAAGGGATATATTAGCTATTACTAAAACTTGTCCTTTAAATTTTTTAGGCTATACTTGTTTGGAAGAATTGTTAGTTCATGAAGGTAAGCCTGCAGGTGAAGTTTTGCTTATAGATATGCTTTATTGGGTTCATAAGGTATGTTTCTAAGCTCATGGAATAATTTTTATAATACATGTTCCTTTTTTTGTTGTTGTTGGACAAATTCAAAACTAAGATTTTATGTAAGAATCCAGAACAGATACTCCACTCTTTCAGATAGGCTGTGTTCACAGTTCAGCTTGGCCTTCACCACCTCTGACTTCTTACATCTGGCCTCTTCATACAATTAGGTTACCCATCTGTCCCCTGAAGCACATGCACCCCTGTCTTTACAGGATTAGATTTCAAATCATATTTAACACCATATTCCATTGTAGCAAAACTTGCTCTGAAATTACTCAATCTGCAGTTTCCAGTTGAAGTATTACTCAGGCACAGCATATCTACACAGTGGGTTCTGCGATCAGTGGAGACAGTTATAATTCTGAACCGCCTGCCGAGAGGGAAATGGTGGGCTGCAATGATGGGCAGGGCAGAACCACAAAATGAAGAGATCGATGTGTCGCTAGTGCACAGACTGGCTTCTTAGTAGGAGCTTTACTCTTTATTCCTGAAGAGTTGATGGTGCCTAGGCAGAGGCTGGGTAAAGCTATTGGAACTCAGTACTATCATCAGTGGTAATAAGAGTCCATACTTCCGGCTTTCTAACTTCAGCCGTGTGGGAGGATGCCCTTGAGGTTAGGTGGAGCCATCAATGACTGGTGTTATCCTAGGAGGGGTGAGTGGAGTTGATCTGTGTTACTTTGGGCCACGTCATGTGATTGCTAGAACACAACTCTACAGAAGAGTCCTCTTTCCTCTGCATGGTGATCAGCAGTGCTTGACGTGGTGACAGCTGCACTGGCCTGTACCTCCAAGACTATAAGGAGAGGAGATTTCTGCCAAGCCATGGTAGACATGTTCCAAGAACAAGAAATAAAACATTGTTGTCAAAACATACTAATATATTTGCAGTGGTTTTAATTTTTATGTTTTGAACAGCAGGATAATCATTCTAGTACTAATTAAAATAATCACAAGATATTCATTAGCAAGTACTGAGTTAAAATTTGAAAAAAACTGAATCCTGACTTGGGCCATCATCAATTTGGTAATGAAAGTGCTTCTTCAGGGCTTATGTCTTTATGACTCATTAATTCTAAGTCCCTTTTCTGAAATCTCCTGTATCCATGTATTCTTTTCCAGCCTGTGTGTGTGTGTAGGGGGGCTGTACTGGGGATTGAACCCAAGGTCTTCACTCAGAGCTACATTTACTAACTTAAAAAAAATGTTTAATTTTGAGATGTGGTCTCACCAAGTTGCTAAGTTACCCAGGCTCAAATTCTCTAGCCTTTATCCTTGGTGACTGTCTCATCAATAACAACTTTTCTTCTTGATTAAGGAAACCAATCCATCAAGAATCATGAATCATGAGAGCCCCAAATACAAATGTCCAAGGTCTTCCCAGGGCTACATTTTGTAGCTGCATTATATTCACGACCAATAGAGCCTATAAACCACTTATCTTCCAGCTTGGCACAGTCCCCCCTGTGGGTGCTTAAGTGTGTGGTGGCAGCACAGATGGAAAAGGTCTAGGTCCCATTGCTCCTTGGACGTGGACGTGGCTAATCCTCTCTGCAGTGTGACGCATTTCTTAGAGGTTTCTTCATGGGTGTATGAATGTTAACATTGCATCCATCATTGAACTTACCTTCTAAACTAGGTATGCATTTTCATGTTGTTGCTAATCAATTTTTAAAATCACTTTCAAGTTTATTTTTCAAAGTATGAGAAATAACCTACCCCTTTGGTAGCACATGATCACATTTGTCAGAAGAAAATACCTGAATGGGTGGTAAACAATTCAATTTTAGACATTTTTGGTCTAAAAAAATGTGAGTCTGTGGTGGTCATTAATGATTTTAATATATTGTTGGAGATGTTGGTGTCTGATTAGCTTTTGCTCCATGCTAAAGTTCTTAATACAATGCTTTAAACCTTTTCAGGAAACTTTTACGGTGTTATTAAGTAGGCAGCATGGTTTGGTTGTCAGCCTTCCAATCTATTTTCTTTTTTGGTCTTTTTTTTTCTTTTCCTTTTTGGTATCAGGAATCAAACTCAGGGCCTTGAGATTGCCAGGCAGGTGTTATGCTGCTGAGCTATATCCCTCGTCCCCAATCCATTTTCTTAATGAGTAAAGAATTTATTGAGTACCCATAAGGCAGTGACTGATCTCCTCAATGAAAGAGACCATGCCTTGTTCACCTTTTGTCTACTGCCCTAGCCCTAAGCCCATAATATAACAAGTGTCCAGGACATATGTCCATAATTGCTGTTCAAGGCACCAGGATAATGCACCCTGAGAAATTCAACAAAGTCCTCACATTTTACAAGCTAATAGTCTGGTGTATTAGAGAAAATAAATACACAATTAATTATAATTTGCATTAGCGAAGAAAATAGTATTTACTGTGACGTGTGAGGGAAAAGGAATGGATGCTTGATGGGTTCCACAAATAATTCCTTCAGGAATCTGGAGTCCCTGGTCTCTGACTATATCTCTGATTGTTACATGAAGGAATTAATAAGATACTTATAAATTGTTTGAAATTATAATTCTTAAAGATATTCTTAAAAGTATCAAACAATGCATATAGAGAAAAACTCCGAGGTGCTTTAGCTGCATCATAAGTTTTGGTATGTCTGCTTTTATTTTCATTCATCTCAAAGTATTTTCCAATTTCCTTTGTGATTTTTGGTTTTCTTTGACCTATTGATTATTGAGAGTGTGCTGTTTAATTTCCACATACTTGTGAATTTTTGAGATTTCTGTCCATTAAAAAAATTTTCCATTGTGATCGAGGAATCTATTTTGTATTATTTAAATTCTTTTATATTTATTGAGTCTTATTTTATGGACCAACATATGGTGTTTCTTAGAGACTATTCCATGGGTACTTAAGAAAAAATTTTTTTTGATGCTGGGCAAAGTTTTCTATAGGCCTCTGCTAGATCTAGTGAGTGTATAATGTTATTAAGTGTTCTATTTTCTTGATGGTTTTTCTGTCTGGTTGTTTGTTATTGGAAGTGATACAGTGATATCTTCAACTATTATTGCTGAGTTACTTCTTTCTTCAATTCTCTATTGCTTTATGTATATATGGGGCTGCTATTTGTATTTATGTTTTAATTATTACATATTCTTGATAGAATTGTCCTTTTATTATTATAAAATGTTATTTGTCTCTTGTAACAGTTTTGGTTTTCAGATCTAGTTTTTTTAATATTAGTATCATCATTCCAGTTTTCTTTTAACTAACCTTGATTCATTTACTTTGAACCTTTTATGTCTTTGAATCTAAAGTATATCTCTAGTAGATATTATATAGTTTCATCATGTTTTCTCAAAAATTTAGTCTGCTAATCATTGACTTTTGATTTTATTTCATTTAATAGCATATTTAGTAAGGTAGGATTTATATCTGCCATTTTCTAATTGTTTTCTATGAATATCATGTCTTTTTTTCTCTCCATTTCTCTATTACTGCCTTCTTTTCTATTAAATAGATATTTTCTATGTACCATTTTAATTTCCCTTACCATGTGTTTTGGGGTTACTTTCTTACTAGTTCCCCTTTGCAGTACAATTAGCATCTTAATTTGAAACTATGTAGTTCAGATTAATGTCAATTTAACTTTAATAGTGTACGACAACTTTTTTGCTATGAAATTCCTTTGTATAAAAATGATGTCTCTATATAGCATGTGCTCGTCCACAGATTCATAATTATTGCCCTATGGAGTTGCCTTTTAAATCACATACAAGGGAAAATGTTGTAAAACATTTCATTGATTCTGCTTTAGTATTCTTGTTTCAAATCTGGGACTGCTGTAAATTCTTCATTCTTAAAAGATGCTGTTGCCTGATTTGAAATTCTTAATTAACATCTCTTTTTTAAAAAATATTTGAATATGTTGTCTCACTGCTTTCTGGCCTTCATAGTTTCTGATTTAAAAAAAATGATTCAATCTTATTACAAATTCCTTGAATATGATGAGTCACTAACATCTTTCTCCATTTTTAATCTTTCGAGAGTTTGATTATGATACGTATTGTGTCTTAGCAACGAGAAAATGACTAAGACAGCCTACATTCTTTGTGATGTCAAAGCTATGGAGGTCTCCGATTGGTTACCTTCATGGTTAACTAATGATTTGTCAGAGATTTCTTTAGCCACAGGTCAGAGTTTAGGATCTTCTCAGATCTTTCCTTATAATGGGACATGCCAGTAGCCTTGTTATGGCTTGCATCTAGATGTCCCCCCAAAGCCTCATGCACTTATAGGTGGGGATTTTGGGGGGTAGCTTGATCTAGGTTGTGTGATACTGGGATTAAGGGCATGTGATAACTAAATTGGTTTAGCATTGTTGTGGGTATGGTGATGGGAGGCCTTACCCTGGGTGTGGGTGGGTCCAATCAATAGGCTTATAGCCTGGATGGAATGTAAAGCGACAGAAAGAAAGCTGCTGCTTGTTGATCTCTGCCTCTGCTTACCACACTGTGGACTGTTTTTTCTCTGCCATGCTCCTCTGCCATGCCACCTTGCCTTGGAACCAGCTGACTGGACTGAAACCTCTACAAAATGGGAGCTGAAATAAACCTTTTCTCCTTTAACTTGGGGATGTTGGGTATTTTGTCTCAGTAGCAAGAAAAGTAATTAAGACTATGCATAACTCACATACAGAATCACTGTAACTGCACAATTTTATATCATAGTTTCTACATTTTATATCATTCTTACTGGAACAAAGGAAACACTATACAAAATTAACTCAATTGTTTGCATTTTATCTTTTGATACCTGAACATTTTAAGAACCTCTCTACTTCTGGCTTGGTGTTAAGGAGCAACTGGGTGGAAAGGGAATTGGGTTGCTTTATCTCTCTTTCCTCCATGGGATTGTAGTGAAAAAGCTTAGGAGTTTAACCTACTGCAGGCAAAGTAACATGAGTTAGAAATACCACAGAGCTCCTAGGTCACTTGTGTTTCTTCAACACTCTTACCTTCTTTCACTGTGAGAAGTAAGTTCTAGTTTGAAATGGAAAACACCACTTCTAAAGGCTGTCAGCTCTCCCACTTACTCCATTATAGTTGCAACAGCTTACCTTGTATTCAGAGTCTAACTGAATGTGTACATGTTGTGAGTCCAAAGAACTCTTTGCTCATGGAGCATCACAAATCCTATATGTAAACAGGGCAGCAAGGACCGGTGAGTTTGCATGACTTACATACCTCCATAGTCATGCACATGTTCCATTTTTCATTTGACTGCACCTACAAAACACAATTTCAAAGATAAACTACTAAGAATTTTAAGATGTCAATAGAAGAGCATTAAACCAACCATGAGGTCCTGTGTGATGGCAGAAAATTATCTTACATGCATAATTGTATATTGCATATACCATATTGTTTCATATATATATAATATACATATATTATATATATCACAGAGGGGCTGATGAGATAATTAACATATGCATTACCTCACACATATCATTCTCAGTGGTGAGAACACTTAAAATCTATACTCAGGAATTTTAAAGCATACAATGTATTCAACTATCATCACCATGCTGTACAATAGATTTCTTGAATTTATTCTTCATTCCTTTGAATAGCATTTCCCAGTTCCTAGTCCCTCCATTCTTTCTTGAAGCTTGAGTCATGGCCTAAGAATTCTGAGGAGTGAAATGGAAGCAGAATTCTCAGTCCTGCCTTTCAGACAGATCTCTTCCTCCTTGTTTATGTTTTATTGTTGTCAGCATTGAGATGTGCCACTAGGAGGGGCAGAAAGGTATTCATGAGTGCTGTACATGAAGGCACAAACCTGTGACAAGGGTCTAGAGTAGAAATCTGAAGGGACTGTGTGTGTCTCCTGGGCTTTTGCTCCAGCCCAGTACTGCGATCCTCTATTTTTTGTTATATAAGGAAAATAAATCACTGTTTGATGAAGTTACTATTTTTCAGATTTCTGTTACATGCTGCAGAATACGATTATAACTTATACCCATTAATTCTGAGTTTCACCTTTATCCTGTACTAAAGTCCTAAAGATACATGATTTTCTTTCTGTATTCTTAAAATGTCTCACTGATTTCTGAAATATATTTACATGCTAAAATCACACCATTTTAATGGCTCTAGGTTTATAGGATGTTTCACAATCTGTTACAGCAATGTCTCTTTGTTGTTTTTGTTCTAAATCTTAGTTATTTTTGACCATATTCACTTGCACATGGACTTTAGAATATGTTTGCTAAGTTTTATGAAAATGAGTAGAATTTTGATTAGGATCATGTTGAATTTGTGGATTAATTTTGGAAGAATTACATTTTTAACATTTTCATCTAGGAACATAATTCTCCATTTATTCAGTTCTTGATTATATTCAGTAAATTTTAGTTTTACCTAGAAAGGTCCTGCATAGTATTGTCTTGGTGGCTATTATGAATGGGATTCTCCTCATTACATTGTGAAATTTGTTTTTGCTAATTTATGGTAAAGCTATTTTTATTAATATCAATTTTGTATTCAGCCATCTTTTATTTTCCTTAGATATTTTGTAGAATCCAACTTCAGCTGTAAAAGTTCTAGACCTTGGATGACGCAGAACTTTATAAATGGAAGAAGTTATGTCCAGTCCAGGTCAAAGGACGAATTTCATAGAGGAGTGAGATTTTATTGTCATCATTATTGAAGCCTTCCTAGATCTTTTGATGGCAATGCCTCCTAGTCAGTTTACTTTCACTGACATAGTTTTTAGAGTCCCTTCAGTTGCCTGTGCATTTCTTTATTATTTAATTTCTACCTCCATAATTGTTCCCAAAGGTGATATGACCTGACAAGCTGAGTAAGGATTGCCGCAAAAATTTCCAAAATATCTCTGGCATTTCCCACAGATTTTTAGTGATAATCAATAGCTTCTTTCATTACCAAAGTCAAAGACCTAAGACCTAAATTCACATTCTTTTCTGAGGGAGTATATGGAAAGGCCCCAACAAAGGCTTATATTAAACATGAAAGTTTTGCCTTACTAAATTAAAATTGAAATTCTGAAATCCAAGAAGTCATATTATTTTCTTATTTCACAACTTCTACTCATATGCCCAATCCTTAAGAAAAATGTCTCATATTGATAATGTTAAAAAAATAGCAGTCAATACTCAATGACTTGTTTTTGATCATAAATGTAGTGCAATGGACCAAGGAATGCTCAAACTTGGAGTTTCCACAATAATCTGGAAAATGTAATGCATGTATTTTTATATCTGAAACATTTTAGGTCTTTCTAAATGGGCAGTAAGAGAACTAGGAGAAAGGAGAAACCTTGTTTTTCAAATATATAATTCTCTGAAATTTTTCCTAGAAGTCTTCACAAATACCTTGGAAGAGTTGGTTTTAGAATCAAAAGGCTCTGTCTATGCTTCTTCCATAATTCATTCTGTATTTCCTTGAGTCTAATTTCCACTCACAAAAGTGTTGGGAGAGTAAAGTAAGATGACATTGATTAAAAAGCATGTAAAGTGAAAAGTGCATCACAAATGTGAATTGTAACTAATTTTGGCTGTTGAACACTTCTTACCTCTGCCTGCTGTAACAAGTTTGAGGGTGTTCAACCCAAAGAGGAAAGAACCCCAAAATGTCCTCAACACATAAGAAAAATCATGCTTAAGCATGCTGAAAACCTTACAAAATACATAATTAAAGTGAAACTCATGACTTCATGATAAAATATTAATGAAAATGCACAAAAACAAATCATAAAATATAAATGCAAAGTAGTTAGCATTGTTTTGATGCTTGAGCGTGGCTTAGAACTCTAAAGAATGACAATGGTGGCAGAGTGATTGAATCAAGCCAGCTTCATAGATGTCACTAGGGCTGGAGAGTGTGCACTTTTCTTCTCTGGTTGTTAGACAGTATTTCTTGATTGTGTGGAGGAGGTGCCGATGTGCACAGTAGCAGCAGCAGCATCAACATAATCATGACTGTATAAGTTTCTTATTGCTGCTATAACAAGAATGCAAAACTTTGGTGGGTTAAAAGAACACTGATTTATTATTTCATAGTTTTTGAGGTCAGAAGTCAAAAACGATTGAGCCCAATGTGTTCCTTCTGGAGGCTCTAGGGGAAAATCTGTTATTTGCTGTTCCACAATGTAGGTAGACACTGCCTGCTGTCCTTGTCTCAGAGCTCCTTCCTTCCACTACATTAAACTCTGCTTCCATGATTCCATCTCCTTCTCTGACCTTCCTGCTTCCCTCTCATAAGAACTCCTGTAAGTACATTAAGTCTACCTGTGCAATTCAGTGCACTCTTTCCCATAGCAAAATCCTTAGCCACATCTGCAAAATCCTTGTTGCCAGGTAGAATAACATATTCACAGCTTTCTGTGACTGTGGGCATCTTTGAGGTAGGGCCATTATTCAGCCTCTTCACAGCCGTCAACAACAGTTAACACTTATTGAGCATTTTTTATATGTCAAGCACTGTTCTGAGCTCCTCATACACATTAAATCACAAAAACATTGTGAGGAAGATATTATCGATTTCTCCTCCTTAAGGCCATAACATTGAAGCATGGAAAGGTTAAGTAATTTTCTCAAGGTTACAGAGTTATGATCCACATGGACTGACACCAGAGCCTAAAGTCTTCCCCAGTATGCTCTGAAGAAGGGACTGGATTGGCTCACTAGTCCTAGAGGAATCAAAACAATGCTTTTATAACAACAACAGCAAAAAAGGTAACATCTCATAATTTTATAGTGGCTTATACTTTATCTATCAAGCACATTTCCAGCAATTTTCCATGAAACTTTCCCATACTTCTGTGGCATGAAGTAATTTTTTTTCCACTAAATCCTCTTCTTTATTTAAATAGCAAGTATTCATATTATTCCTTTCACTAGAATTTACATACCTGTTTGTTCTCTCTTCCATGTGAGCACTTTAAATGTGGAAATGAGCTCCCCTCACAGACACACACAAACACACACACACACACACACAAGTATAATGAGTTGAATATTGAACATATTCAAACATATTCAATAAATTATTTGGTAAACTGCATAGTATAGCTGAGGTAGAGTATTGTTTTGGAAGAATTATAGAACCTTAAAAAAAAACTAGAGTGATAGACTATGTTTTGATAACTTCTAATGAAACATGACTTTGGTATTCATGTTTTGGGGTAGTCTTCTCTTAATTTGGCTCCAGGATGAGCCTAAAACCATTTTAACCAACCGAATATAAAGAAAAGGGTGTCATGTCAGTTCTGACGCCAGCCCTTCCTTGGTCTAGAAATGTCTAGTTTCTCCATCTTAGAACTCTCACTCCCAAATGTTGCTTTTAGAACCCAACTTCCATGCTGTGAGGCAGCCCCAGGAGCCCCATGGAGAGGTCCATATGGAAGATAACTGAAGCTTCACCAGCACCATTGAGTTCCAGCAGAGCCTTCAGACAGCCACAACCATTTGACAGTACAGGGAGTAGAAGAACTGCCCAGATCATCTGCAGAATTATGAGACAGAAAAATCTTTTTTTAAAAATTTAAAAATAACTTTATTATCAAACACACACACACATACATACAGAAATTGAAACCATTCAAAGAAAAACAATGCAAGGGAAGAAAAACTACAATAATATTCAAATACAGTAGAACTCAACCAAAACAAAACTGAAGAGCATTTAAACATTTTTCCATACAACTTAATAAAACATCTCAAGCACCAACAAGACACCAGAGGATGTGATTTGTTTCAGAAAGATCCCCAAAACCAACATTAAAAAAATAGTGGTCTGGAAAAAACTCCACTTAGCTAGCATACTCCACACAAGCCAAACTTCTGCCTAATTTAAATTTCAATACAGTCATATGACATGCGATGGAAACACAATCCAAGAAATATGTTATTAGGCAATTTCATCTGTGTGTATCCTTAATTACACTTTCAGTTTCTCACACTAGAGAAACTATTCAGTATTTACACATATGAGTTCTATTTATTTCACTT